AAAGTGAGCATGTTGGTTCAATGCGCAGAGCCCCGCTGAAGAGCTCTAGCATTAGAAAAAGGCCCTGTATTTGTTTTGCGCAGCGCAAGCAAATGTAATAACATGCTTGCGCTGTGTTTGCTTTTAAATTTTCTCTGGTGTCTCCACAAGTGGGATACCAGAGGACAAAAGGGCCAGGAAAGTGTATGTTGCATGTGTTTGGCGCATGCTTGTGGGATTGCCTGTGTGTAGAGTGTGGTGTGGTATTGTGTAAATAGGTCAATTTTGTGGTGTAATATGTGTGGCTAGGGGCTGTAGAGAGTGCGTGTATAGGGGCATAATGTTATAGGGTATGTAGCGAGTGTGTGCATACAGAGGCGGACTGAGAGCCTTTGGGGCCCCCGGGCAAAATTAGATCCCAGGCCCTTTGAAGGCCAAATATACGTGCATTAAATAAATGTTAAATATAACTCATAATACGGCATTCCTTTGGATGTGTATATTGTGAAGACCTGTGTATCAATGCATGTTTGTATTTGAGTCTGTGTGAATGCACTTGTGCATGTCTGGATGACTACATGTGCTTTTTTGTATATAGTGTCTGTGTGAATGCATATGTGACAGGTGACAGAGTGTATGAGGGAGAAGGTGACAAGTGGAAGAGTGAGGGGGTACCTGGTGGCAGAGTGAGGGAAGGAGGGGTTGAGTGGTGGCAGAGTGAGGGGAGACACAGTGAGTGGGGGTGACTGGTGACAGAGTGAGGGAGGGAGGGAAGAGATGACTAGTGGCAAAGTGAGGGAGGGAAGAGGTGACTAGTGACAGAGGGAGGGAATCACTAGTGACAGAGGGAGGGAGTGACTAGTGACAGAGGGAGGGAGTGACTAGTGACAGAGGGAGGGAGTGACTAGTGACAGAGGGAGGGAATCACTAGTGACAGAGGGAGGGAATCACTAGTGACAGAGGGAGGGAGTGACTAGTGACAGAGGGAGGGAGTGACTAGTGACAGAGGGAGGGAGGGGGTGACTGTCACTAGTCACCCCATTCCTCTCTCTGTCACTAGTCACTCCCTCCCTAACTCTGTCACTGTGTCACCCCCTCCCTCAGTCACCCCCTCCCTCAGTCACTGTGTCACCCCCTCCCTCAGTCACTGTGTCACCCCCTCCCTCAGTCACTAGTCACCCCCTCCCTCAGTCACTAGTCACCCCCTCCCTCAGTCACTAGTCACCCCCTCTGTCCCTAGTCACCCCCTCTGTCCCTAGTCACCCCCTTCCTCACTCTGTCACTAGTCATCCCATCCCTAACTCTGTCACTAGTCACTCCCTCCATAACTATGTCACTGTGAAGGAAGGAAGGGGTGACTGGTGACAGAGTGAGGGGATGACTGGTGACAGAGTGAGAGAAGGAAGGGATGACTGATGACATAGTGAAGGAATGACTGGTGACAGTGAGAGAGGGGGTGACTAGTGACAGAGTGAGGAAGGGAGTGACAGAGTGAGGAAGGGGGTGACAGAGTGAGGAAGGGGGTGACAGAGTGAGGAAGGGGGTGACAGTGACAGAGTGAAGGAGGTGGTGACTGTCACTAGTCACCCCATCCCTCACTCGGTCACCAGTCATCCCCTCCCTCACTCGGTCACTAGTCACCCCCTCCCTCACTCGGTCACCAGTCATCCCCTCCCTCACTCGGTCACCAGTCATCCCCTCCCTCTGTCATCTGTCACGCCCTCACTTTGTCACTAGTCACCCCCTCACTCTAGTGACAGAGTGAGGGAGGGTGGGACTAGTGACAGTAAGGAAGGGGATGACTAGTGACAGAGTGAGAGAGGGGGTGACTAGTGACAGAGTGAGAGAGGGGGTGGGTGACTAGTGACAGAGTGAGGGAGGGGGTGACAATGACAGAGTGAGGGAGGGGGTGACAATGACAGAGTGAGGGAGGGGGTGACAATGACAGAGTGAGGGGGTGACAATGACAGAGTGAGGGAGGGGGTGACACAATGACAGAGTGAGGGAGGGGGTGACACAATGACAGAGTGAAGGAGGTGGTGACTGTCACTAGTCACCTCATCCCTCCCTCTGTCACTAATCACAACCTCCCTCACTCTGTCACTAGTCACCCCCTCCCTCTCTCTGTCACTAGTCACCCCCTCCCTCTCTCTGTCACTAGTCACCCCCTCCCTCTCTCTGTCACTAGTTACCCCCTCCCCCTCTCTGTCACTAGTCACACCGTCCCTCACTCTGTCACTAGAGTGAGGGGGTGACAGGTGACAGAGTGAGGGAAGGGGATGACTGGTGACAGAGTGAGGGAGGTGGTGACTGTCACCACCTCACTCACTTTGTCCCTAGTCACTCCTCCCTCTGTCACTAGTCACCCCTCCCTCACTAGAGTGAGGGGGTGACTAGTGACAGAGTGAGGGGTTGACAGGTGACAGAGTGAGGGAAGGAAGGGGTGACTAGTGACAGATTGAGGGAGGGGGTGACACAGTGACAGAGTGAAGGAGGTGGTGACAGAGTGAAGGAGGTGGTGACAGAGTGAAGGAGGTGGTGACAGAGTGAAGGAGGTGGTGACTGTCACTAGTCACCCCATCCCTCCCTCTGTCACTAATCACCACCTCCCTCTCTCTGTCACTAGTCACCCCCTCCCCCTCTCTGTCACTAGTCACCCCCTCCCCCTCTCTGTCACTAGAGTGAGGGGATGACTAGTGACAGAGTGAGGGAAGGGGTGACTAGTGGCAGAGTGAGGGAAGGAAGGGGTGACTAGTGACAGAGTGAGGGGATGACTGGTGACAGAGAGGGAGGTGGTGACTGTCACTAGTCACCCCATCCCTCCCTCTGTCACTAGTCACCCCCTCCCTCTGTCATTGTGTCACCCCATTCCTCCCTCTGTCATTGTGTCACCCCATTCCTCCCTCTGTCACTGTGTCACCCCATTCCTCCCTCTGTCACTGTGTCACCCCATCCCTTCCTCTGTCACTGGTCATCCCCTCCATCACTCTGTCACTAGTCACCCACTCACTCTAGTGACAGAGTGAGGGAGGGGGTGACTAGTGACAGAGTGAGGGAGGGAAGGGGTGACAGAGTGAGTGAGGGAAGGGGTGACAGAGTGAGTGAGGGAAGGGGTTACTAGTTACACAGTGGGGGGGTGACTAGTGACAGAGTGAGGGGGGTGACTAGTGACAGAGTGAGGGAGGGGGCTACTAGTGACAGTGGGGGGGTGACTAGTGACACAGTGAAGGGGGTGACTAGTGACACAGTGAAGGGGGTGACTAGTGACACAGTGAAGGGGGTGACTAGTGACACAGTGGGGGGGGTGACTAGTGACACAGTGGGGGGGGTGACTAGTGACAGTGAGGGAAGGTGACTAGTGACAGTGAGGGAAGGTGACTAGTGACAGTGAGGGGGGTGATTAGTGACAGTGAGGGGGGGAGGGGTGACTAAAGCCTACCTTTCTCTCTGCTCCTTGAGGTCTCCCTGGCTGCAGCTCCTTCCCCTCGCTGGGCTGTGTGAGAGGCATAAACAGGAAGTGATGTCACTTCCTGTCCCCGCCTCTCCCATCACACAGAGCACCGCGCGGGACTGGGAGAAGGAGACCTGGCAGAGAGGGAGAGGAGGTGAAGCTGCCAGGTCTCATGGGAGGAGGGAGGGGGTGGATTTAAAGAGCGGTAGGTTGTGGGGCCCCGCGCTGCATCAGGGGCCCCACAACCTATCAATTAAATAGTTTTATTTAATTTAATTTTTTTGTTCCAGTTGGAGAGATCTCTGATCTCTCCAGCTGGAGCATGGCTGTGCTGCCGGGCCCCTGACTGCCTCGGGCCCTCGGTCCATGACCGAAGTGCCCGAGTGGTCAGTCCGCCCCTGTGTGCATACGGGCAGTAGTGTGTGTGTATAGGTGATGTAGTGTGTGTAGGGGTTGTAGAGAGGGTGTGTTTAGAGAATGTTGTATGTATTTGCTTACAATGAATGTAGTGTGTGTGTAGGTGGTGCAGTGTGTGTGTGTGTAAGAGATCTAGTGTGTATAGAAGATTGTGTAGAGGATTAAGAGTGCATATAGGGTAAGGGATCTAATGTGTATCTGGAGCGTAATGTGTGTAGTGGTGCAGTGTGAGGGGTGCTGTAGTGTGTGTGTGTGTATATATATTATATTTGGACGTATTGTATGTGTGAGGTGCGCAGTGTGTTTGTGTAAGAGGGGTGCTGTGTGTGAGGGTGTTTTTATCTGCCGTCACATTCTAGGTTTCTAATTTTCTTTGTCTCTTAACTCACTGAGGGTTATTTTATAATAAATATATATATATATATATATATATATAGTGTGGGGGTGCTGTGTGTGTCTGGGGGTTCTTGAGGTGCTGTGTGTGTCTGGGGGTGCTGTGTGTGTCTGGGGGTGCCTGTGTGTGTGTGTGTGAGGGGGCTCTTAGGGAATTTATTTTAAATATTTTTTTTTTTAATTAATAATAAAAAAAAGTTATGTCACCCCCTCCCTTTTTACCTTTAGCCTGGGAGGGGGGAGCCGGGTATCCATTGAGGAGGGAGCCGTGCTGCCTTCCCTGGTGGTCCAGTGGTGAGAGTGAACTCTAACCTGCGGGTTAGAGTTCACTCTTGCGAGATCTGAGCGTTGCCGTGGTAACCGCGGCAACGCTCAGAATCCCGCGAGAGGACCCGGCGGAGCTGCTGGTTAGAGCTCCGCCGGTCCTCTCCTCCCTCCCTCCCTCCCTCCCAAGCCTGCGGCCGCTCTCCATGCCTCTGGGCTGGTGAGGGAGATCTTTGATCTCCCCACCGGCCCATGAAGGCACACAGCAGGGCCGGCGCTCGGGTAGCGCTGGCCCTGCACGGGCTGGCAGGGGAGATCCTGTGATCTCCCTGCCGGCCTCGACCCATGGCCATCGCGGCCCACCGGGCATTTGCCCGTAATGCCCGATGGCCAGTCCGGGCCTGGCTGGGGATGAAGTGTGTGTCTTTGTGTGTGCTGGGAGTGAAGTGTGTCTGTGTGTGTATGTAGTGTGTGTCTGTGTGTGTGCTGGGGATGTAGTATATGTCTGTGTGTGCTGGGGATGTAGCGTGTGTCTCTGTGTATGCTGGGGGCGTAGCTTGTGTCTGTGTGTGCACTGCAGCCAATACACTTACCTATACACAGAGTCTGTGTATCTGCATGTGTGGCAGTGTTTGTGTCTGTATATCTGCATGTGTATCAATATGTCTGTGCAATTGCATGTGTGTCTGTATATTTGCATGTGTATCAGTGTGTCTGTGCAACTGTATGTGTGTCTGTACATCTGCATGTGTGGCAGTATATGTATCAAAAACTGACACACATGCAGATACTGACACACATATAGATGTACAGACACACTGATATGCCTGCAGATACACAGACATACAGATATACGCACAGACACAGTGGTGTATGTACCGCGGTCGCAGGGGTCGCAGCTGTGACCGGTCCCGGCACTCCGTGCTGTCAGGGCCATCCGATGGAGATGGATTATCAGGGGGCCTGGTCAGCTCTGGGTGCTTTAACAGCACGACCGATCCCCCTGTGAGTACATCACTGCTGGCAGTAAGTCTCCTCCCAGCATACAGAGAGCCCACACGGGAGGAAACAGGAGAGAGAAGGGAGTCAGAGAGGGAACTCTGACTTCCATCAGGCTGAGCCACCACTGGACTCCAGGGAAAGTCACACAAGGTAGGAAACCTTTTGTGTATGTGTGTGTGTGTGTGTCTCTGTATGTGTGTATGTGTGTGTGTGTGTGTGTGTGTGTGTGTCTCTGTATGTGTGTGTGTGTGTGTCTCTGTATGTGTGTATGTGTGTGTCTGTCTGTATGTGTGTGTGTGTGCCTCGGTATGTGTGTGTATGTGTGTCTCTGTATATGTGTATGTGTGTCTGTGTCTCTGTATGTGTTTATGTATGTGTCTGTATCTCTGTATGTGTGTGTGTGTGTCTGTGTCTCTGTATGTGTGTGTCTCTGTATGTGTATATGTATGTGTGTGTCTGTGTCTCTGTATATGTGTGTCTGTGTCTCTGTATATGTGTGTCTGTGTCTCTGTATGTGTGTATGTATGTGTCTGTGTGTGTCTCTGTATGTGTCTGCATGTGTGTATGGATGTATCTGTGAGTGTGTATGTATGCAGGGCCAGATTAAGACCCCTTTGGGCCTGGTGCTGACAATTATGATAGGGCCTAATTACAGAATTTTATTGACCAAAAACACTAAAATAGTCATACCTCTCAAGTGTCTGTATCTGATGGAGTTGCTGTTGGAGGGAAACTCAAAGGATGCAGCTATAAGAAAACACATACTTCATGCTAATCTCTTTATCTAATTGTGGCGAAACCAACCTCGCCACTGTGAACTGGAGAAGCCTGGTTGCTCGCCTGCTCCCTTTGGACTATGGCCCTGCAGGTTAAACCGTTTATTTCCCCTGCAGAAAGGCTTATTTGTGTGATCTGAGTGCCATTCATCTAATAATGTGCACTCAGATCCCAGCTATCTGGGGATATGTGAAATGTCTGTGTGTTATGTGTAAATGTGACTTTATGTATTTTAAAGTGTTTTGTGTCTTTTTGCAACCATGTGCTTAATGGAGTCTTGTGTCTATCCTGGGAGATAATTGAATTACTCTCCAGGATAGAAGACTCTGAAACTGGTTTGGGCCAGAAAGCCATGCTTCATTTAGTCACAAAGGACTTTCCCTTAACTTTTGAACCCCTGGTCTGATTCGTGCCATTTTTTAATATGTTGTTCCCCTGAATGGATTGATTATGAAAATGTATGTTTTATGTTTGTGACATGTATATTTTAGAAGTTATAAATATTGTGTAAAAACTGTATTCCTCTGCCGGTGATAATGAGATTACCCATTGTGTTCAGTAATCATATCACCTGCAGAGGGGAGGATTTTGTGTGGGAGTGTCTGGGTGTATTGTACGGATTGATTGGTTGTTTTGTAACGCCCTGTGGGCAGTACTATGTTTTGTGGATTGTAATAAAAACCAGGCTGGGTGTGCCAGCACTGGAGTTCCTGTTTTAACCCTCAAAGTGAAGTGTCGTCTCATTATTGGGGGAAGGATTTATTGTATGCTGTTCCAGTTTGACTGCTAGGAGAGTAAACCTATTCGCATGGTTCCTATTCAACTGTCTACAGCATTCATATGCTTGAGAGGATTCATATGCTTCTCTGGTTCGGTGGTTGTGGTGTCTGCTGCAGTGCTTGGTGTCCTCAGGAAACG